ATGGAGTGTGTGCAGGTGGCCCAAGCTAGACTCGATGTTGGAGAGTTATAGATCAAGATTAAGGGGGAGTGTGTAATAATCTACGATGAACTTATTAATGATAGATCAAGACTAAGGGGGAGTGTGTAATGATCTACGGTAAACTTATTGATGATAGATCAAGACTCGAAGGGGAGCATGGAGAGGCCCAATGTTTGGTTCACATATGAGGGGGAGATTGTTAGAGCATGTGTGAAAGTAGAGTCCCACATCGGATAAAGAATAAAAGAGATGAGTCTTAATATACATTAGATGGGCCCACTTATATGCTTAAGCTTTTAAGTGATTATGAGTTCCAAATAATATTTGTTGGGTCTTAATATGACGTTTGTGGACTCTGGCGTTTCTTCCTAATGGATTGGGCTGGTATTCTTGTACGCTTGTGGGCTCCCTAATTCCCTACTAGGTTCTAGAAGGGGGATAACTAAGAAGCTTTGTAATGTGACCATTGCTCACGCTCATCTAAAAAAAGACCAGAATTGTGCAAGCAAGAAAGTGTCTTCTTATTTTACCATGCTTTGTGATGCCTTCAATGCTCAAGCTCATTTAACAATGAAAAGAACAGTGCACAGAAGATAATAAATTCAATTCAAAAACCCATGATTGATGAAAAACTGTGCAACACCAAGTACTTTCCTAGTTTAACAATGCATGAAACTTTCCATTAAAATAAAATTCAAAATTACTTCAATAAATTGACCTTCCTCTAAACTTAAATGAAAAAAAAGAAGATAAAAGATCTGAAGTAGATTCCTTCTGCATCTATATTGCGGTCTTCATAACTATAGAGAACCTAAAACATTCACTCATCCAAAAGACATTCCAAACCTTTAACCAAAGGTTCTGTCTACATAAAAGATTTGCTAGGAATGGAATAAACATAGTAATGTAAATTCCAATTCAAAGTGCTACTGTTTAATGCTCCAAATAATTGTAGTTTGTTCTTAAAAAATTTCCAATATTGCTCTAGCAATAGAACTTCCCTTAATCATTTTGTCTTTCATTTTTCTTTGAATTGCATTGGATTTATGAATTTCATGATTTTGACAGTTGCAATTTTCATCTTCCATTTTCACTCAAAATCCTTAACTGGCGTTCAGCAGCAAACAAAATATAATGTAAACAGCATAAGTTTCAAAGCCCTTGCAATGAAACTTCAGTCAAATGATATATCGTGACAAGAACAAAACTTTCAACTAGTGTTGAATGGTCATAATGAATTGTAAATTGGACCACATTCCAACATTTGAGGAGTCCAATTGGATTGAATTAAAGATACCAACTCAATGACAACAACAAAACTACCCTCTTATCAATCATCTAAGTAACTTAACAAACTTCAATTAACTAAGTACTATCGAATTAAGTTCAAATCCTAATTACCAGACAGAACAATTTAACAATTTGATAAAAATACACTCACTTGTTTGTCTCTTTGTCTTCTCATTATCTGAAATCTTCAACTTCTCAAGGCTCTCCCTCAAATCCCTGAAGGAAATACCACCAACTTTCAACTCTGTTTCTTTCTCCTCCATCTCTCTCAACTTCATCAGCCTCTCATTCAACTCCCCCAATGAAAACCAATTTTCTGTCTTAGCTTCCGGCCTCAATTTCCTCAACTTCATCCCCAACTCCTCTTGAGAATAACTCTTCACAAACTCCGTCTTCATCGCAGGTGACTCTGGCTCCTTCTTTTCCCTCATCTCCCTCGCAAACACCGACGCCGGAAGCTCATCACTCCCCCCAATCATAACCGTCGAGTCCCTCGCATTCGGATCAACAGGCCGCAACTTGAAACTCTCCTTGAACTTCGAAAGCGACATCGGATCGTTAATGCTGACTTGATTGTTCTTCTCAGCGTTCGATCGGAGCTGCTTCAAGCTCTCGCGAATGGCATCGAACGAGTACCTCCCCCTTAAACTCGCTTCGTTGGTGGAATTTTCGCCTTTGGATATCACATTTCGCTTGTAAAGCTCCTGAAACGAGATGGGCTGAGACGGCGGAAGAGGCGGAGATGACGACGACGACTTGTCCCCCGGCGTCGGCACGGCGGAGCGACGGCGGAACTCGGAGAGGTTCTTGCGGATTTCTTCCAAAGAAGCGACCTTTGAGGGGGTTTTAGGAGAGGAGAGAGAGTACTTGCTAGGTTGTTGTCGATATTGTTGCTGTGGAGATTGTTGTTGTTTGAGACTGGCCTTGACATCGCTGAAATACGAAGAGAAGGAAGATTGGGATTGGGATTGGGATTGGGATTGTGACGGTGACGGTGACGGTGACGGTGACGGTGATGGTGATGGTGATGGTGATGAAGACGGAGTGTTTTGATCTTCGACATTGGAGTCGGAGGTTGAAGATGAGAAGAAGTGGATGAAACTAGGGTTTTGAATTGTTCTGTGTTTGGGTCTGAGTTGAAGAGCAATTCCTGTTAACGCCATTGGCGAGCGAGCTGAGACTGAGGTTTATGGAAACCCTAGAATTTTCATAGGCCTGGAGAAGCTCCAGTGTTTTCCCATGGACTGGAGTGAATGAATTGATTAGATTTTCGGGTTTGGGGCAAGTGGCCCAATGTTCAGGTTTCGAACCGAATCCGTTTTCTTTTTCCGGTTTTCGTTGGAAATGGCATCTAAGCCTTGTTTGCCAAGTGACTATTTTAGCCCAAAAAAAATTAAAAAGTCACAAAAAAAAAAATAAAAAAATCAACAATTCATATCAAAAGGTCAAACAGTCTATTTTCTCTCTACTTTATGCATCTCTTTTCGTAAAAAACCAAAAAGTCATCACAAACATACTACTCCCTCCGTCCCAAAATATTAGCCCCTTATTCTATTTTTCATTGTCCCAAAATATTAGTCCCTCTTAAAACATCAAGTACAAAAATAATATAAATTTTCTATTTTGCCATTCTTTTAAATTAATAAACAATATAAAAAGTACAATTATGACATTGATATTCCCAAAAAATATAGTATTAAAAGGGTAATTTTGAAAAATCAACTTTTTTTCGAATGCAATAATTGTACTACCAAAAAAAAGTTGGATTCTCCAAAATGGACAATTATTTTGTGACAGAGGGAGTAGTTTTTTTTACATCACATTTTAGCCAAAAAGTCAAAAAATTACTAAAAAAAACATATTCCCAAACGAGGCCTAAGGGAGTGTAGTGGTTCAGGCGGTTTAAGAGTAAAATTACAAATCGAATAGCGAATTAGTGGATTAATGAATTGACAAATTTTAGTTTGGACAGTTTTTGATGGATTGACAGATTGAAGAATATTCTAACTAATTATCATACATTTGTATAATATATAACACTAATTTGTATAATATTTTTTAGATATATAATACAAAGTAATTTTACATAATATATTTCATATATATAACCACTAATTTGTAATAAATTTCATATCTTAAATTTTTCTCACACTCATTTTTATATTGATATTTTATTAAAAGTTAAAAAAAAAATATATGTATTAATTATAACGAAGCGGAGCGGTTCGATTGGCAGATTATAAATTTTAAAGTTTAAACTGCGATTAACAATTAAAGCGATACGAATTAATATGGATCAGTGCAATTTTAACAAATTGAACGATATTTTCCACGACCCTAATGACAACTGAACAAGGTTTTTGAAAAAATTAATCGAAGTCTACTATTAAACCAACCTTCTATAAGTTGGTTGATTGATTGATTGTTAAAAAATGTTTAATTATAATAATGCATATGAAATTTTAATTTTAAATTCTATTATTTTAATGATATAATTTTATATTTTACTTTAATTTTGATATTATCTGTTTGTTCTTATACTTTCCTAGACGATAATGTCATGTCAAATTCATAAATTGAAAGGCAACCATGAGTTAAAATTTACAGAGGTATAAGAACACAACACCAATTAGTGTGTTTGGTTTCAATTTTCTGAATTTAATTTTCCGAAAATTGATTTTTTTTTTCTTGTTTTTTTTTAGTTTTTAGTTGAATATTTTTAAAATTTTAAGTAATTTTTTACTTTTTTATATGTACCTTACTTAGATATTTTGTAAAAACTAAAATATTCATTAAAAAAATATTTTAAAAAATCAATAAATACATAAGAATATAAAAATATACTAAATTCTTATATTTTTTTTTAATATTTTTGATATTTAGTGAATTTTTTTTAAAAAATCACAAATATTATACTTTTTAAATGTATTTATATTAAGTGTATATAAAAATTAAAAAAAAAATGAATAACAACAAGAACAAAAAATCAAAAACAAAAAATTTAATTTTTTTGAAAAGTGAATCATAACCAAACAAGTTGATTGGGCCTCCGTTTGGCAAGAAAAAGCCCAGGCTTTTTTGGCTAAAATAGCCACAAAAAACAAAATAGGCTATTTTAGCCACAAAAAACAAAACATCAAATCCAACCCATAATCATTACAATCCTCTCTCACAAAAAAAGTCAAAAAAGTCAAAAAGCTAAAAAGCCTTTCCCAAACCAGGCTAAAATAGACCAGGCTAAAATAGCCAAAAAGTTAAAAAGCCAAAAAGCCAACCCACTTCCCAAACGGAGGCTGGGTTTGATAATTTTGACATTCCTGATTTTCAGCCTATTTCAGAAATGGATTGTTGAGATTGGATGTAAAATTGATAGGTAGGGTTGATGGCCAGTTTAGTTCTAATTAATCATTTTATTGCAGATTACAGTAAAAATTAAACTGAGATTGGGAATGGTTTTTTTAAAGGTTTGAGTGGATTTTTTTTATTAAGTCAGTTGTTCGAGTATGGTGTTTGTTAGGCGTCCTTAAATAGAGAATTGTTTTCGGGCCGTGCTATGTCCTCCGAAATTCCCCCCCCCCTTAATCCCCCGAATTTCCAAACCAAGGCCAAAAAAAAAAAAAAAAAAATTCTCCAAAACAACGTCGTTTTGGGGATTAGGGGATTAGGGAGGGCCAAATTCGAGCTCTCAAACATTATTCTAATAATTTTTAGATTATATTAGTTATGTAAATTTTAAAATCATTCTTTCACCAGTTTCATTACATTAAAATTAAATTTAATATTATTATAGTAAATTATTATATGTAGCGATATATTATTCATGGATTATATGATATTTTATCATTTATTATTAAAGAGGGACCGAATATCCTGCTGGTCATCAAGTCGGATATCCTGCTAGACGATTGGATGTTTCCCTTCTTTTTTTTTTTTAATATGAAATACAATATTTAGTAGACATCTTGCCGGACAACCATCATATTTGCTACACCATATTTATTTATTTATTGTTTAGAATATGAAACTACAAATATATATATATATATATATCTATGCCATACATACTCACGAAAACAAAACAGAAAAAACGAAGGAATGAGTCACTTGCAGTTTTTGAGCTAAAAAGATGAAGATCAAAGCGTTGGAGATGCCAGGCTAAGAGCAAGAGCTTTTCAGGCGCTGTGGACGTGAAAATGAAGATTTCGAAAGGGGAATAAGAGAAGATGAACAGTGGAGTGTTTGATTTGAAAATGTAGGGTTTTTGTACAAAGTAGAGATTTGGACAGGACTGTTTAAATTTTACGGAGTACGAAGACGGCTGTGACAGCTACACTTGGCCAATGGGAGCTAGCCATGTGTCCAAGGGAATAGAAAACGGTTCAGACATACAGAGCATTTGAAAAGACGTTTACAGACCGGCCTCATTAGTAGCTCGGTGGAGAGTGAGCTCGGTTGGGTTGAATGTCTCTAGCTCGGCTGGAGAAGAATAAATCCCAAATCATGAGATGCAGATGGGATTAAGGGGCAATTAAGAGGGTAATTAATAAATAAATTAAGCCGAGCTAAGGAAGAATCTTCTTTGGAAACTGGGCTGTGCATTGGGCCGAAATAATAGCTGGGGTAGCTCGGTCGTAAAACTAGCGAGCTATGGGCCGAGGTGAGTGGGCTTCACAACTTGGACCTTGTTTCTGTTAGACCGAATCAGAGGCAACCGAGGTATAGGTGGGGCGAGGACCGAGCTAGGCATTATGCATAGAAGCGCCGAGCTAAATCCGCCGTTGGGCCTAGTTAGCTCAGTCTTACATAAAAAGCCCAATTAAAGTATGCCTAATCGTGGTACAGGCACTGAAGGGAAGATCTGAGCTAGGCGAAGCTCGGTCAAATCTACCGCTTAAGCATGGCAATATTAGCTCGGTTGTTTTGTCATACTACCAAGCTAAAACCATTTCACTTAGTTGAAGCAGTGATAAGGGTATTAAGGGATAAACATTATCTTTTACAAATGTGATTCCTAAGAGGACTCTACATTGAGAAGTAAGAGTCCTACTATGATTGTACGAGGCAAAAACTATAAAAGCTCACAACAGAACCTATGCATAGGTATCACAACTTTGATTCTCGAATACGCAGAACTTTTGTCTATTTGTCTATTTTGTTGACTTAGGCATCGGAGAGGTATCCGGCATACACCCGTCGGCTAGCTCACGTTTGTGTTTTCAAGGAGTAAAGCGATGACGTTTGAAGGAGCGCTGACTTGATCAACATGATTATACGAGAACATTATTTCGTACTCGTACAATTTATATGTTAATTTTTGAAAAATAACAGAACAGATATAAAAATTAAAAAAAAAATTCCTTGGATCATAGTACATTACTGAATAAAACACAACCAGAAAAATTATTACGTGGCATTGGGGCATTATCATCAATCACCAAATCTCTGTCTCTGTTGTCTTCCATCACCCAATACCAAATTATAGACTCTATTTCTTCTAGCAATTACAATATTCCTAAGTGTCTGTTTGGAGAGTGGGTTTCGAGGTTTTTTTTTTTTACTAAATTAGTCATAAGAAATAAAATAAACTTTTTAACACAAATTATCACATCTAACTTATAATAATTACATTTTTTTCTCACAAAAAAAATTTAAAAAATTAAAAATCTTGCCTAAATTAAACTTTTTAATCTCAAGTTAATATAATTAAAAAAATTAAAAAATTAACCCATTTTCCGAACCATGTCTAAAACACCACTTGATTATGATCCATAAAAACTACAACAAATAATTTCTCCCCCAAGCACGAAATGGGACAGGGCAAAAGCGAGCCCGAAATGGGCACAGGGACGGCGTGAGATTTCATACACGTCATGCATGTTTTGTTTGTTTATACCCTCATTAACACACCAACTTCCTACTGCTGCTTTAATGTGCGCGTTTTGTTTGTTTATATATACCCTCATTAATACACCTTCTTACAGCTGCCTTAATGTGCGCTACTCCACCACCTATCTTCAGGCCTGACATCTTATCAAAAAGTTAAAACAACAATAATTTATAACTCCTCAAATTTCAACTCCCATCGTTTTTATAAACATGTGACAGGGTGATTGGATGAGAAAAATAAATAAATAAATAAATAATCAATCAAAAAAGAAAAGAG